GATCTTATCAGCTGTTATCACCTTCTGTCCCCACGCCAAATATGTTTCCATCCCGCCCCCTATATGATATCTTAGAATCAACTGCTGATAAATGCCGGTCCGCCCGCTATGAATTTCGTGACACACACACCCACACATACAGCACGCACGCAGACAGTCAGACAGACAGACAGACCTAACGCTTTATGTATTGTAACAGTAGGGATGCTAATCCATCGCATTAGAACGCGTTGTCTTCATTCTCCAAATTTTTAGTTGAATCGAAATCTTTTCCGGGAACACGTCGTCTAATGCGTGGCCGCGCGCCCTATCCACACACCCCTTTGGCTACGCCCAGGTGTGTGTGTCTTTGTTCACAAAGTGCGGTTTTCGAAGCTTCTTTCACTACGGACACTGAGTTTTTAAGCATAGAAAATTGTACGTGGAACAAATGATCACCCATGACGCATTTATTCATGGAAGGAACACAACAACTTCTGTGCATGACTCCTCTATTTAGCGGCCATAACCCTGATATAGTCTCGGGCAATAATAACTGTATACACATCTGTTTGTCGTCATATCCCTAACAAGTCCTTGTCGACACGTGCATCCGTCTACGCAGTACGAGTAGCACAACTGGAACGGCCCATTTTTCAGTGGATCGAAAAATGAAACGAAAAGCAAACTTACGTAGTACCGACTGTTACAGACGGGCTCACAAGGGACGCACTGCACATAATACTCGCTGGAGGAGCACGCTGAAATCATGAGAACAATATTTATGAAGAATCAGGAGAGCACGGCAGGGAACAGCTTCACCGAGATGCTCACACGAGCGCGATAGCTGCTTCCGACCCGTGGTCGTCCTTGTAATTACTCACTAAAATATCTAAATTGTTGGCCGTAGTATGGCTGATATGGCGGTATATAATAAGTGAGAGTTCGTCCCGGGTAGACAGGGTAGACGGGCGGTGGCACGACAACGACGACGGGGCGAGGATTGGGACAGGCGTATCTGAAAATGATAAGGAAAAAGCGAGTATTCGGAATACCAGCATCTTCAATAGGAACCTCAGAAACATTTTGTTCCTATTCTATCCGGTGTTCATGAAGGGAAGGATCACGGTAAGATTGGCTTGAACTTACACTGGAGGCGGGGATACCGGATGATGCGCCAGTGACGAAAAAAGCGAAAAAAATTGTCAAGAACACACAAAATGGGACCCCTCGTTTGCCTCTTGACCTCCGGCAGTGGATGAGCCAGCAACTGACTAATGGAACGTTCATAGTTGGCGACCGTACGTGCGATTACATTAGGAGAGCAGGCGAGTAGGCGATAAGGAAGGATACGTATTGATTTGTTGCTCCGCCCATTGAGCGATCGCCTAATCGCCTAATCGCCTACTCGCCTACAACGTTCTATGGGCGGAGCAAACCAAGTCGAAATGTAGTCTTCCCCGCCTAATCGTCAAATCTATACCACTATACTTTCCATCGTAGACTAATTGCCTTATCGCACGTACGATCGCCAACTCTGAACGCTTCACAAGGAATCGTTTGACGTGTAGCCACCATCCTGTCTACGACTACCATGCATTGACGGATAACCAACGACAACGTTTCTACAGACTTACCGTTGGAAGATAGACAACTCGGAGTGGCATGCGCATTCGGAACAAAAAAAGAAGCTCGCCGCTGGCTACTGCAAACCACAGGTGGGCGGAGCGCAGGCGGAGGCGGAGCTTAGAAAGAATTGGCAGCTCCCAGGCTGCACTAGAGCACCTTTGGGAACAGAAATGCCACATTGGCACTATCTTGTTCCCGTTGTCTATCTCTTTCACGGTGCATGCACCTCCCACGCGCATACACAACTTTGCACGCGGACACCCTCGACTTTAATGCTTCGGATTGCTCAACAATACAATAAATGATAACTTTTATCGTCTTGAAGCGAGGGATTACTATAAGCTGTGTGTGCACCATGGAAGTACATGCACCAGTGAAAGCAATAGACAAGAGGTGGAAGATATGGCCTTTTCGGGACCAAAGGGTGCTAACTGCAGCGTCCCGGGGCTGTTAATCCTTTCTGAGCTTCGCCTCCGCCTGTGCTTCGCCCATCAGTGTATCACCAGCAACAACACTGTCCGATTATCATTTTGATAAAGTATTCCACTGTATGGAATGCGTCATCAATCAAAGCATGGTCTTAACTGGTATGATGGTGGCTATCGGTTTAACGAGTGCCGACGACCTCTTAGTTGGTTGCCAACTCGTCCATTATCGGAGGTCAACGGGCAGAGGAAAGTGGTCCCATTTTGCGCGTTTTTGACGGATTTCTTTGCTTTTTTCGCCACTGGGGATTATTCAGCATTCCCACTCACAAACTCAAACCAATCTTTCGTGACCCTCGCTTTGATTGAAGAAAATCGATGGAAAACAGCCTTACTTTGGAATACATGCACCCGTGTAGCGAATATAGCCAGTATCACATTGACAGACATTTGGGACGCATTGCCTGGTGCATGTCTGAAATGTTCGAATGGTCTTGTTCATATCTTCAAAACTCAACACAAAGATGTCGTCTGATAAAGATTATACCCAGCTAAACTTGTATTTGTGAGACTTCTAGTGCGGGACATTTATGTTCCGACGAGTATTTTATAGATTTATTTTATTCTGAAAGGACTTCCGCACTGCAACAGCTTAATAAAAGGATGAATGACTCACGGGATTTGGTGTGGCACATGTCGGCTCACAAGCTGTTCCGCAGACATACCGTCTTTGATTCCGACCACATGCAGCGGCTGGAAGAGTCGGTTTGAAGATTTTATATACAATGCTTTGCGAGAACACATGTCTGTCAGGAAATCTGAGTGGCGAAAGAAGGGTGCTGTTAACGGCAAACAATGCTGTGAACAATACTGACACTTAAAGATCCAGGATTTCTGGTCAAAATTAAGCCTTCCCACGATAAAATGCACCGGTACTCGTGCGGGGAGCATCTACACAAATATAAGGATGATTTGACAAGGTCACGGCGCCAGGGCTTCAGACTGCAACATTGGCCCCGCCCTACACCATTGACCTCGCCCGCAAATTAGTGCCATTTCGCTCCTCCGCTATTCAAAGGCAAA